AGTTATCTGCCACATACGCGCTACCGCATGGACACAAAATCTTGAAACAGCTTGATCTGGAGAGAGGATCGGAGTATTATCGAAAAAATTGCAATACCGAGTAATGTGAAATTTCTTTTTATAAATATTTCTGGTCTCCCACCTACTAAGTAATTAGCCTATCTTCTTTGACATTACACAATGAATGCCTAATGATCCTGATAGAGTAGTCTAACATGTGGTAAAATTTCAGGCTCAAGGGTATAACTGTTTTAGGAGAGGATGCAGCTCTTTGGTCACATTCGCACCCGTTTCATGCTTCATCTCCAGCCACTTCATATTACATCCCCAGCCAATTAAATTAACTTTTAAGCAAACATTTAGGCAGAATATAGGATCTCTAACCAAAACATGATATGCCTCATTAAGTGGACCAAATTGAACTGTAAGTATTAGATAGGGTTGAAGCCATTTACCTTTCTTGCCTTCGTATTTTAGTGAACTATCGTTAAGCATGTTGTCCTGCTCTGGTCATGTCCGTCAAATTACGGATGAAAGCTCAGCAAGGATTCATCGGGGCCGCAGGGCGGTGCGCCGAGGACCTATTTGCACAAATCTACAATCACAGCTCCAAGGCAATACACCCAGCTTCAGGTAGAACCAACTTAATAAATACTTCCACCCGCCTCTTCAAGCTAAATGTAAGGTAGTTAACATCAATCTATTAATGGATTCTTGAAACCCTGTTTTTTTTACAGAATCTGCTGCTTTTTTAATATTCACTATATATAAGCATAGATATGCAAACCATCCATTTCTTATGACATTTATAAAAACAAATGTATAACATTAATTTGATGGAAAGATTAATTAAACACCACAAAAGTCTACTGGTAAACGATGGAGTCAGAAGAAGTAATGGCTGAAAAAGTTGCCAGTGATTTAACCAGGCTTCTTGGTATAATTGCTGATGAAGGCATATAAGTTGCCTATTAAGAAGCATACATCAAAATATAATTTAATAAAAACTTCTCAAAGTAAAGGAGTTACTCAGACACGGCAGACTGCATATTGAATAAGCTGATTAATCATTTAGAGCAGTGGTTCCAAAACTTTTCCTAGTCGCGGCGCCCTTTTTTAATTAACATCTTTCCATGGCATCCTATTCTAAGTATGAATATTCGTAAGAGATAAAAATAAATAAAACTCGTGTATTTTCATTATTTTTTTTTACTTTATTAACATTAAAT